GAAAATTACCACCTCTGTCTACTACCCAGGTCTAGATTGAGTGGAGTCTTGTATTTACCTTATCCACACATCTTTATCTCGCGGTGTTTGGAAATAGGTACTGTAGAACAATTTAATTATCTATGTCTTCCACCTGATTTAGCATTCAGTAACACTGCATTTTGTTTTTATGTGTATCGTATGACTTTCCCTGTAAACAGCGTTAACCAGTTGATATTTTTAAAGGTGAAGAGTTGTGTTTTCTTCGCGGTACGGACTGAATTCTTAAATAGTATTTAGCATAGCGTCGCCTTTAAGGGGTTAATCTATTCGATATAGTTGTGTGTTGATTCTGAAAGTATACGACACAAACCAGTTTTTCAGCAGATAACATCGAACGACTAAGACGTTTTCTCAGTTGCAATATAGATTAAACTGATATTTACAGTTGTACAAAGTAAAGATATTCCATGAAAGTTTACATAAACTAGTGGAGGTAGTGCTCCACCGTTTCCTTAGATCCTGATTAATATACTTCAAGTATGCATTTGATAGGTTGTGGCGGCAATATATTACGTAAAATTCAGAACATGTGTCAGCGTGGCAAACATTTCCTGATAAAACACACTTGGAATTAATCGCTTACCTGTTTTGAGAAGATAGCAGAGAGCACCTGCTCTGTAGACCGTCCCGCTTTACTATGGCGTCAGGAGGGTTGCCGGTGTGCACGTGCTAAGGTAGCATCTGAAGTAAACTTCACGTTGCGTAATGCATTTGAATTCTAGTGGAACTGTTTCTGAACCGTTAGTATGTTTTTAATGACCTTTGACCAGCCAGGAAATTAATAGTACGGTGTTTTAAATGTGAAATAATTTGTTGAGGCTTTTGCACTAATGCGGCTTCATTGAAAATATGATAGTCAAACTGATTCTGAATAGTGAAATCGCTTTATGAACGTTGTAACCTGTTCTTCGTGATAAAGACTAGAATGCTAAACACAATCAATGCAATTCCTAATACTGTAGAGAATTATCTTTTGAAAAACACTCACTTCCAAATGCAGAACAATTACAGTAGATGTTCATTGTTTACAGTGTTTCGCCAGTCTAAGGTAAACGTCACACGAAATAAATGGCATGTTGAATAATATTACATTTTGTGCATTTGGTGTTTTATTTCAATTTCCAAAAGCCAGGAATTTTATTTACTAGTATTTCAAGATACACTCAGACCCGTTATTAATCCGATCTTGACTTCGATTTCAAAACAAGATCATATTGATAAAACAAAACATTTAACACTTCAGAACCAGTTTCTAATATGACTGATATTTTAACGCTAGGTAGATAAAGACAAGACTTGAATGATTTGGGTTTACGCGATGTTTGAAAGTGTGACTGTCTTCAGATTCTTTTTATAAGCCTTGAGCAAGTAAGATTTTTTTAAAAAAATAGAATGGAGTATGGATGTGCAGCGATTATTTTTAAATTGACACGAGCTTTGTTAATAACTTTCCTTATCTTGTGATGCTTACAATGATGAGAACATTAGGAAATAGATAGACTATTACTTATTTCTTCTCCAGACAACTGGTTTTAAGCTTTCTAACGTTTCGGTTATTGAATGTTCTGGGTGAAGACAGCGATTCTACCTACGTAATTACACAATTTATTAATATACAGACACAAAACTTTTGTCGGTGACTGCTGATAAACGTTAGTGTATCGAAAGTATAAATGTATCTGAAATCTCTGACACAAATAAATGATGTTGCTGGTAGTGAAATCGTGCTGTGTTTGTGATCCTGTTAATGGTGTGGAGAGGAGAAAGGTAGGCAAGGCAGAAGACGTCACCGGACGCTGAATTTTGAAGACGCCGGACACAGATCTTGCCGTACTTCCGCTCTGGGAGAGGGTTTAAGGCGCCGTATCCTCGACTTTCCTGAAACTGTCTTGACCTGATCAGCTAATGAAGCGGGCACCGAACAAGTAACAAGACTGGCAGACACACACCTGATCCACAGCCTTGTTATAGTAAAGAGCACCACGCATGCGCTGTGCAGGACTCCACCTCTACTTAGAGAAAAATTTTAAGTGAGAGAGGGGATGGTTGTCATGGAAACCATCTCCCGCCAACTGGTCTGGACCCCCCCATTCAAAAGAAAAAAAAGGAAACAGAGAGGGTTACCTTTCTGCTTCCTTCATTGATGAGATGAAGAACATTGCTACTTCTTTATTCTAAGTGGAGGACGGTTGATATTGCAGGCGTCTGTAAGTTTCTTCAACGAGCATGAAGTTTAAATTTGAGTCAGGCAGTACATGATTTGAATCTGGTCTGTGTAATAATGCTCCATTTTTATTATTTAGTGTGAGGAGTATTTTCTGATGGGTTAAAGCGGCCGGAACGTGAATTTTTACCTCTGTGGCCCAGCATCCATTCACGACGTTGAACTTGTTATTATTTTATGGGAAGACCAATAAGGAGATGGAGTGTAACACAAGGGTTACTAAACGGAATAGGTTGAGAAGATGACGGATGGATGGAACTGGCTGGCTCAGGATCGTTTCCAGAGACGGCTGTGGTATTAGCGGCGTTGAACCTTCGGTTCATCCACCACAGCGGTAGTAATCATCAGGAGCTATTTCTGAGATATTTTGTTTTGTCCAGGAGATGTGTTCCTTCATCGAATTTCCAGTTCTCCGGACGAGTACTTACTTGAACCTCGGCCTGTTCCTGTCTGTTCTAACGTGTCTTGCATTCTGTCGTCTCGGTATCGACTCCCAATAGTTTGCTGAGACATTGTATCACTGCCCCTGTAAATGTGGCGTGATGTAGCACTTAAATGTACCACGTGCTGTCTGTGATGAGGGTTCTTCACCTTTTAAGTTTTTTTTTCTGTCGGGTGGACTTGCAACATGACGCAAGAAGCAGAATGTATTTTTTTTTGTTTTTAACCTATTTTCATTTCTTAAAGAAAAAAAGTATGAAATCATGTCTCGTGTGTGTCCGTTTTTAAACTTTTGAACTCATTTACAGATTTTTAAGAAAGGTGATTTGAACGTTGTGCTATAAGAGACAACCCCAATCAGGTACGTTGTAATTTCCTAAAAAAAAAAAACACAGTAACAATATGGAATGTGCTCGAACTTGTGATTGCGGAGCGACACTACCACTATTTAATATATGGTCCTGAAACAATATATTGTAATATGTGTTCGAAAAACATAGGTCTGTAACTTTTATCACGATATTTTAATTTTTTCATTGTAAATCAAGGATATGGTGGCTGGATGGATATGTAATTTCCAGTTTGATGGTTATTTATTAATTATTAAGGCTAGATTTTTTTAAATTTACTATGGATATATATCATAAAATAGCCAATAATTGTATATAAATTAACAGTGATAATCATGAAATATAGGTGAGGAACTTTAATATTATATCCGGCAAATTGTAATGTACCCAAAATCTATGTTTAATTAATAGGTTCTTCCAGTTAAGAAAATGTATGATACAAATTCTGTACAGTATTAATAGATCGAATATGTAACGTATTTAAAGTCGCAAGCAATTCAAATGTAGACTGAATTAGAATTTGATCTTTTGTAGGAATCTTGTATGCTAGCACATAAAATAATTGCGTTATGGTATTGGATTATAAAATTGCTGTAGGTATACTTAAATATGTCATTAAGAACACAAATCTTGTGTGTCCATTTCTCTAACACGAAATAGCTTGAACCTGGTGTGTTAGAGGCAATTGCATACACTGTAATGTGGATTGCTTGGCAGTAAGTCTATTCATTCTCACGGTAATGAAGTTTTCATAATTTCTTCCTTCTGTAATACATCAAGATAGAAACATAAATATACATCATTTTATAATACTATTGTCATTGCTACTTAAAATCGCCACACACCAATATTTCTGAATATAGAATTACTTTAGAACATAAGCGATATTTTAAATATGTGCATTCAACATTTTAATTATTTAAAACTACCTTATTGTATTAAATATGAGTTTTATGCATAGGAACTACATGTTCTTATGGTGACACATGAAAATACGATACTTTGTCAACAGTTGAGTCGTTTCTAATTAAGACTCGTGTCAGCCCTGAAGATGGCAATGGCTGAAACATGTATGGTTGCATTAACTGTGTAAAACAAATGTATTATTAATGCGTGTATAAGTAAGAATCGTCGTGTGTGACGGGAGATAAACACTTTGTCAAAAATCCACAACAGGATGCTTACCTACAAGCTGCTGGACGTTGCTAATACTGTCCCCTTCATTTATCTTGGCGTGTTAAAGAAATTTGGGGTGGGGGGGGGCAGAATCGGGTAAGATTAGTATGAAACTCACAACACACGTTTCTTCCATTACTATCATATAAAATAACATTTCCCCGTTGAAAGTGTCGTATGGCCACCGAGCACAAACACCAAATGGAGCGAATACCACCGAGCGGAACGTTATCTGATGCGTGAATCCAGGCTTCGTCATCTCGTTGTATAAATCAAGCCATAATCATTACCGCGGACTATCAGACACCGAGTAAACTGACGCTTAAAATATACTAACTAACAGTGCTTATAGACTCCTATTCAGTGCCATGCTGCCTGAGCTTTTTCGTGCCTTATCGTGTTGTATAGCTTGCATATTCGTTAGGCATAATTGCTTTACGGTAAGTACGATCGACTCAGGTCGTAAGAGCTATATTCCTCCCCTTTTCATTCTTAGAATCTGCGTTTCGAATTGTCTGTATCCTGTTCCATGTGCCAAGATTTGTGGGGCCGTAAATACGCTCTGCCATTTCAGTCAAAGTTATGCGATTTCAGATGTTTGACCCGGGGTGTCAGAAACCTTCTTCAGGTGAATCATGTACATCTGCATCAGTAACAACGGGGAAGGTGTAAAGTCTTTAAAGGGCAGCGGTAATTGAATTTAGCGTCTGTTTAAGCTTTCATTAACTTGACATTTCGCCCACATTGTGTATTTATAGGTTTAATTTCTTTCCCTCTACAAACAGAGATCATTTTTCTACATTCTGCATCAGATACATTGTATTTTCTTTCGGGTAACATTCTTTTGTTGTGAAATTAAACAGACTTGACCTAATTTCAACGTAGACATTAATTATCAAGTTTAATCGAATTTCGTTGTATCGATCCGGACATGAAACATACGGACGGACAGAAACAATCTCCTCATAATGTGTTAATTCCATGCATTTAGAGCAAAAACAATAAAAAATAATTACATCGGACATTATTTCTTACACATCCAAACAATACAAGAAGACTGTGGTAGTTATATAGGACATAATGAAACAGATTTACTTGTCTTAATTGGCTTAAGAGTAGTACTAGTACATGCTGACGAGAAGGCTATGGAGGATAACATTAAGATAGATCATAAATAAATGGATTGTGAGGATGGAACTGGCTCAGGATTATATGCAATAGCGGATTTTGATATTAGCGCTGTTTAACCTTTGGATTCTGGTACCAAAGTCAGGTTTTTCGACATACAACCTGAATTTGAGATCTGTGGACAGTTATGACCCCTTATAATATTGCAGGTGATTTGTTACAAACGTTTTAGTTGTCAGCTACATTGAAGATGGGGACAGTAGTTTTTTTTTCCAAAACGTTTATATTGACCCATGACATAACAACCCAGAAGGTTACAATCCACTGCCGCCTTCTGTTCAAGGGGTCCTCCGAGTGTGAGTCATTTGTGATATTTGTCCTGAGAGGTTTCTATGAAGTATGTTAAATGCTATTTTACTGCGGGACCGTCTTCAGCAGTGGTCTCTGCTTAATGATCTAAAGCCCTGAAGGAGTTCTGTCCGTACGGTGAACTTGGAGTAATCGGTAGATTGCAAGGCTCATTGAAACGTCTTACAAATGAACATTCATTGGCCGGCGAAACGGCCCTGGGCCGCTTATGGAGTTTTGCTTTCGCACGGCTATCATTGGGCCTAGAAGTATTTACGTCTTAATGGCAGGAAGTGAACACGTGAGGACAACCTATAGTCATCATATAATAAAAAATTGCTGTGTTGTAAAATTTGTTTTTAATTTATACTACCCTCTTCGTTAGTTGTTCGAGTACAAATAGCAAAGTTTTGCCTTTAAGGCATGGCAACTGCCAAATGCTCTGTAGGTGGATTGTTTCCGGTATCCAGTACACGGCCAATTTCAGGAACATAATCTGTCTCATCTTTGTTTATATCTTGATATCGTATAATTTTAATTTAATTGGTTTAACAGCACTGATAGCTTAAACTGTAATTTTCTTTAATTTTCTAAACTTCCTCCGCCTAATGAAGCAATAAATCTCTTTGCAGTGCAAGAACGTAGTATAAAATGGCTCATAGAACAGTAAGGTTGATATGGATTTGCTTCTTGAGTACGTTTTATATCAATCTATATTGCACGAAACTTTGTCATAGGCTCCATAATTCAATACGTAAGTATCGTTAAATATCATAAAGAATTATTCCTAAACCAAGCATCTTCATGAAGAATCGAACTCTGTAAAGATGTTTGGTTTGAATACTTTCCCCAGTATACGCCCTGCCGAAACAAACAATTTTTTCTGTGTTCAATCCTTCTAACATGCTTAGATTTCGAGCTACAAAATCCACCTTTACCGCGACTAGAACTCAGGACACTTAAGGAATTTTAGCAGTTGTGAAATGTATTTCTAATTTCAAGGCATAAGCTGGCAAGTTTAGTATAAATTTTTATATCTGTTCACCAGATATAAGAGATCGTACATACATATACAAAGAAATCAATCTTGACGATGGCATATCCTATAAGCGAAACGTGTCAGATACGTGACGTCACGAGTCGAGTTGCCAGCCTTGTGCCGCATGGCGAACGTTACTTTCGGTTAGGTTAGGTTACAATTGGCTCTTTTCAGTTCTGTCAGTTCAGTTCCGCTTAATTTAGGAAAGTTAAGCGTTGTTCCGTTCAGGTCAGTTCTCAAGGTT